CGCTGCAACGGCCTCAGTACTCAATACCAACAGCTGCTAATTTCCAAACCCCATCCTAGAACTCATCTGCTTCACTATCGACCACAATGTCGTCACCTTTGACAACCAGTTCTCCATCCAGATACACGGAACAGCCATAGGGACCAAACTTGCACCCCAATATGCCAACATTTTCATGCACAAGTTTGAGCAAGACTTCTTTGCTGCGCAGGAACTATGACCAATGCTATACATCAGGTACACTGACGACTCATAGCAAGGAATCACTGAAACGGCCACATAGCGATACCAACAAGTTTGATCCCACCATCAAACTTACAATGGACTACTCTTCAGAATCAGTCTCATTCTTGGGCACACGCATCTCCATCAAGGATGGACACCTCAATACCTCTCTCTACTGCAAGTCCATGGATAACCTCATGATGCTGCACTTTCTAGCTTCCACCCTAAATATATTAAAGAAGCTATCCCCTACTGACAAGCCCTGCGCATACACAGGATCTGCTCAGATGAGGAGGAACGCAACAGATACCTGGAGGTTTCGAAGGACGCCCTCATAAGAATGGGACACGTTGCTCAACTCATTGATTGCCGGTTCCGACGTGCCACAGCAGTAATCTGCAATGACCTCCTCAGAAGACAGACACAGGATATGACTGATAGAGTACTCTTTGTCATCCAGTACTTCCCCGAAGTGGAGAAACTACACCATATTCTTCACAGCCTTCAACATGTCATCGATGACGATGAACACCTCGCCAAGATCTTCCCTACATCTCCACTTCTCACCTTCAAACATCCGCCAAACAGACCATTGTTCGCATCAAACTACCCAGCCTTCAGGACAACATCGACCATAACAGCACATAACTCTGCCATGGCAATCTCTGCTAGACATGTCCGATCATCGACAAGGGCACTACCATCACACGTGGGAACACCACCCACCACATACACAGCTGATACTCATGTGACTCGGCCAATGTTGTCTACCTGATACACTGCAGGCAAGGATGCCCCAGGCATGATATATTGGCGAGACCAAGCAGACGCTATGACAATGGATGAATGGACACCACGTAACAATTGCCAGACAGGAATGTTCCCTCCCAGTGGGGGAACACTTGATCGGTCAAGGGCATTCAGCCTCTGATTTTCAGGTAAGCGTCTTCCAAGGTGGACTTCAAGATACACAACAACACAGAATCACTGAGCAGAAACTGATAGCCAAGTTCCGTACCCATGATGATGGTCTCAACCGTGATCTTGGGTTCATGTCGTGCTACATGTGACCCTACCACAGCATCTGTGGAGAAAAAGCAGAGTTAACATTTTGAGTCCACTAACTCTTAATCTGAACATCAGAACTGAAGTTCTAAAGAAGGGTCACTAAACTCGAAACATTAACTTTGCTTTCTCTCTTCCAATGCTACCGGACTTGCTAAGTTTTCCCAGCAATTTCTACTTTTGTTTCTGATTTCCAGCATCCGCAGGTCTTTGGGGCCTTTTTAAATTAACTATTAATTTATAACCTTAGTTATTTAACCTCCTAGGCCAGAACTCTTTACAAAAGCTAAAAGCATCTTCACATGCTTTAGAAAAAATCTCATTAAAAACTCCACGCCCTAATGTGTTAAAGAATTTACATCCCCAACACTGTCACTGATGGCTGAAACCTAATACGTGTCTCAGTGTAAAGCATTAATATATTGAATATATTTATCTACAATAAAGTAACTACCATCAGCTATAAATTTGAGATAGTTAAAATGTGATAGAGGAAGATATTATTGAATAACAATAATTAACAAGTAAAGTCCCCTTAGTTCATCCACTCTTTGCCACACAATTGCAGTGTCTTAAGTATCCTGTATATGTTCTCCACCCACAAAGTATGAAGATTTCAATTGTCAATTTCAATTATTGGTTTTAGTCATGACCTTCATTTGGTTGAAAATATTCAATAAAAAAGAACAAGGCCATATGGAGTAACACAATAAATGAGTAGTACAGAGATAGTAGGAACTGCAGATGCTGGAGAATCCGAGACAACAAGGTGCA